AAACTTTTTATGACTAGGCTTCACCAATATTGCAACGTGCCCCCTCCTAGTACTTATAGACCTTTTCTGCAAGTGCGCCGCCATCTTCAATTGATGTCACTTCCAGTATGGGCGAAAACATTGTTTTGCCTTTGCCACACCAATAGAAGGCATTTAGGATATAAGCGTAAACGTCACACTTTGTCGTTTTGCCTCCCCTTTATTTTTTTACGATTTGCAGGTTGAAACGTTGGATTATTTTTGGGAGTGTCTACATCCACGCGCGGGGATGTAGCCATGTCGGGAGGAGATAAGGCTCCATCCACGCACTACGTCACTTCCGGCGCCCACGTCACTTTTTTGCGTGGACGGAAACAGTTCTTTCTCCGTCTTCTCTCCGTCCACGCAGCAATCAACCTACGGCCTTGCCTCCCATTGTTTTGCCTTGTGCTCGGGGGCCACTGCTCCTTGCGTTCCTGCCGTGCGCGGACTGCTGTTCCTGCATGGTCTTCCCCAAGCGGGTTTATCTGAAGTGTTGTTTTTATTTCTTTTTATTGTTTTCTTGGTCAAAAAAACTTTGTGTATTCACACGGTCGCGCTTCTGATATGCCTCCAGTTTTGGTTGCCGGGGATTCGATGGTGAAATACTTGTCCCAGTATTTCACATCGAATAACCAAGTGGCTGTCGAAGTGCGGGTGTTTAGTAACATTAGGATCAAGGCTCTGCTTCTCAAAGTGTCTGACGCCCTGCTCGATTTTTGGCACAAACAACACCAGCGTTTGTGCCAGCGCGTACGTTGACAAGTACCGTCGGCTGGCCGCTCAGATCTTGGAACGCAATCCGACGACGCAGATCGCTTTTTCTTCCGAGTTGGGAGAACAGGTTCTTTTCGGTTGTAGTGTCAGCGTAGGCAGAGTGCAGTGATCCAGGCGTAGAATGATCGGCACAGAGAAGTGAACTGGCTCCTGCAGGAGTTCTGCCGCAAGAAGGGCTTCGTGTTCATCGGTGATCTCGTGGACGAGTGGCATCTGTGCATCGGCTACTGTTTTATTTGTCATGAAATAAACTGTTTCTGGAATCTTTTACCCAGTTTCCTCGATTAGATGCTCTCAGTGTGTTTGTTATTACTGAGTCTAATGCATGCTTTTCCTTCTCGCACAATCTTTGTGAGATAGCGAGCGTGTGCGCAAGTCAAGAACATACGAAGCGTGCGCTCGCACTTGTCCCCTTCGATGCACATAAGCTCACACTACAACGCCTTAAATGTGTGGGCAGCGATGTGCACATGGGCGAAGGCCCCAGAGGCCGCAGCCGCGCCAAGCCAACCAAGCCCACACCACATTGCTGCAGGCTGCACGCCCACACGCACGGATGGCACGCACGCTGCCCACACGTGTGTGTGACTCCTGAACAACGTAAATATAAAGACATCTACGGATTCTATTTTTATGACGCATGATATTTCCTATCTGTGTTAGAAAACAGTGACACATTGATAAATTGTCTAAGAATTTGTAAGGTCACGTGATATATTAACTTTAAAACAACAATAAAATGTAACCTATTTATTTCTAGATCCTATATTTACTTGTAAGAAAGCATAATATGTAAATAAAAACAAATTATGTCCTTAAATTATAAGTCACGTGACCTTTTGCGTGGATGGAGCCTTATCTCCTCCCGACTTGGCTACGTCCCCGCGCGTGGATGTAGCCTCGGCCATTATTTTTTCGTCGCCCATACCGGATACGCCTATTAGGTGGCTGGAGACGAGAGTACACAGAAAAGGTCTATACACCAACTCAACTCTCCTACGTCACGCCGCGGTGGTGGCGCGCCGGACGCACTTCCGGTCTGGGGCGGTGGGCAGAAGTCGCCGTGCCAGACATGTATTCCCGTGTTCCTTTGGAAGAAACGACACAAAAAACCTGCCTTCTCGTCAAAATGCTGCGACGGGGGTTGTACCAAGAGAGTCTGGAAAGGTTTGAAGATCAGTTTTCATGTGTTTTTGCCGCCTCCGTTCGTCCGAGAACGTGGATAGTAGCCGTGAAAAGGGCAAACCAGACGCTGTCGAACTACGATTGCGTGTGCGGGCAACACCTTGTGGTCGCCAGATGTATTTGCTTTGTTCCAACATGAACGAGAGAAAATCGTCAAGTTGTCCGAACCACCCACGGGTTCAGTGCGTCTTCAAATTCACACGGCCGCCTGATCGTTCGAACTTTCGTCTGCTCTTTCAAACATGTCTGCTTTTTGTCGTCTGCTCGTTCAAACAAAAGCGGCCCGTAGACCAAACTTTGACCCGGTGATTGCAATAAGAAGCAATTGCAGGCCTCAAAAGACTTAAGTAGGCTCGGTGTAAACAGTAGATACAAGATGTTGATCATTGGTACCGGTGGCCATCACCGACTTGTTACGCTTGGTCTGTTCCCGCTTCCGATTTTTAGTATCGACGTCGATCATCGCCGCTACCTTCTACACTTTTGCAACACGAGCGACGTCGCTACCGAAAATAGCTAGAAGAATCTCATCATGGTTTTGGCGTCCATTCTGCGGCGTTCATGCGAATGAATCGCCGCACGTCAAATTATTTACGCAATGCTTAGCGGCGTAACGAGCCTTGATAATTTCGCTTAGGCGATTAAAGTGGTAAGACATTGCGATGAGGACCTAGAATCGACAATTCCAACGCGAAAAAGAGTACGCAGACTCACACAGACGCCGACAACGTGACATTCGAGTGGTTTGTTGACGCGGGACGCGGTGCTTCTTGCCGGTGCCCCATTACGCATGCGTTCGAACTGTCGTCTGCTCTTTCAAAATTGGCTGCTTTTTGTCGTCAGCTCGTTCAAACGACAGCGGCCCGTAAACCAAACGTTGACCCGGTAATTGCGATAAGAACTAAGTGCAGGCCTCAAAACACTTTTGAAGGTTGGTTGGGGTAAGTATATAGGCTAAGTGTAAACAGATACAAGAAGATGTTGATCATTATTGTTACCAGTGGATGCATCACCGACTAGTAATGCCCGATTCTACTTGCGGTTTTCAGTATCGACGTCCACCATCTCAGCTACGGTCCACGCTTTTGCAGTCCAATCAACGTCGCGTCTGAAAACAGCGAGTAGAATCTCATCGTGGGAGTCAGGCTTTAGCGCCTATTCCGGGGCGTCCACGTGAAATGAATCGCCGCACGTCACATTATTCACGCAAAGTTTTGCCTCGTTAGTTTTGCTGAAGCCGCTCAAGTAGTCAGACATTGTTAGGAGGACGTAGAATAAACAATTCCAACGTGAAAAAGAGCACGGGGACTCCCACCGACGCCGACAACAACGCAATTCAATGGTTTGTTTATGGGCGACGGCGGGCTTCTTGCCCACCATCCACCGCGCATGCGCGGCGCCGGTGACGTCCGCTAGGGGCGCGCCGGTTTGTTTGTAAACATGAGTTGGTGGAACTTTTGTCGAACCAGATTTTTTGGTCGAATTTTCGGGGTTCGACTGGGTCGAACCGGTTCGACGAACCTTCGAACTTTTCACCAAATTCGACCGGTTCGACTTTATGGACAGTGTGGCCAGCCCTTGATACAAGCATGTCTAGGTTTAGAGAATTTGTTTTGTTTTTTATGCAAAGGGTTATTTTATTTTGTGAACAGCTGCAATTAAAAGAAACTAATTCTAATCACTGAAGAAGTTAATAACTTAATTTTTAGTACTGTATTAACTGAAATAGCCAATCAGCGCTGTAATTAATTCATATCTTAGCCATTACCATCCAATCCGAAGCCAACTGGCCAGCCTGTCGCGCATGCGCACACGAGTCGAACCTCAATACAAGGTTCGTCGAACTTTGCACTAAAAGTTCGAAAAAGTCGAACCTGGTCGAACTCGAACCGCGGCCGGTTCGCGACACCCCTACTTATAACCTCCTTGATCTCTTGTCTCCCGTGCGAAACGGCGCCGTATTGTTTGAAAACCTTTGACTTCGCCGCATTTCCATAGGAGCTATGCCTTTTTCTTTCTTTACTTTTTCCTCAGAAAAGTTTGCTCCTTGCAAATTTTACAAAAAAAAAAAAAAAAAAAAAGAAAAACGCACCATCTGTGGGCAACGCAGCACAAAGCCGTCGCGCGATAGGTTAAGAAACCGAATTGTGCGGTCGATTTAAAGAGCCTGGCCACTCGGTACACCCAGTAGAAGGTCAAGCCGCCATGCTAAAACCCTTGTAAACAAAGCAGGCTGGCTAGGTGGCGCAAAACGCCGTCCAATTGTAAAGGTTCAGTCAGCTCACCTAAAGTCACCCATATCAGTGACCCGTCTCAGAGCCGTATATGTAGAGAGTTTGGCCATTCGTTGGGAAGTATAGGAGACAAATGAAGCGGCGCCATTGGCCGAAAGCGGGCTGGGCGTGTTCCAGGGCGTCTTCAGAAATTCGAATGTGACCGACCAGAAGCCGGAAATAATACCCTGGCGGTGGTCGCAAGAAACAAACCTGATAACTGCATTGGAGTAACTCTCGATGGCTGAAAATATGGCACACGTGATGTTTCAATCACACTTATCTGAAATGATGGTGGAAGAGTGTGACTAGCGGAAAGATCGACATAATCCTTACGCCAAACGCCGAGCGCCGGGAATCTGCCGTCAGAGCGGTCACACTCTGTCCGCGCAAAATAGAGTTGAGCGGCGCATTCGTTTCTTACATCTTTCTGCGTGATCATGATGAAACAACACGTGCACCCTATTTTCAACCACAAAAAGTTACTACACTTCCACTCTTACGCGCTTATTAAAACCATATACGAACATAGACCTTCGATGATCGATCGGCTCAGAATTGTTTCTCGCTACCACCGCTAGGGGATTCTTTTCGGCGTCTGGTTGGTCAAGAGAGCATGCCAAGCCCTCTTTCCGAGTCTGCCGCACACCCTAGCTCTGCCCGCGCCTCCCATTGACCAAACTCTCTACATATACGGCTCTGACCCGTCTTTATACATCCACCTGTATCTACACATAAAAATTTGCTATATCCATTCGTGTTTTGACAGCAATGACGTATCGGACGTATCAGACGTGTGCACCAGGAGGAGGCAATAGCGCGTTACCAGTGGAACCTCGGCTGTTTACGGTTTTGGCATATGTTGGACCGGCGCTGGGACACGATGAGTAAAGCGCCGTGCTTACTTTTGTACGACATTTGCTACGTGAGAAGGTGAAATCGTTACATTCGAACGCGCGAGCTTTGAATAGCTCCCGAGTTCTCGCGGTCGCCGCCTCAAGATCTTAAAACAGGTGCGTACGGAACTGGGAGGAACACATGGCTACGAGCATGGGTTGAGAGGCGTGACAGTAGGTAGCTGGGGGGCTACAGTGTAGTCTTTGGGCCCATTGGGCATCGGATCGCAGGAACCGTTCTTTGACAGCGTGATAGAGTTGTCTCTTCGTCGACGTCGATAGATTTCCGCCTGAACCAAAATAATGATAACGCACTGAGGGGGATAACCGGTCAGAAAATGTGTCGCGCGCATAGTTCTGCAGAAAAGCGTGTCGGGTGACTCGATCTTCCCTGTAACGGAACCCTGGTTAAGGACCCGTTAAAAATGACAAATTCACTGTCATGGAAGGATACCTAAGGAGAGCCTACGTTCGATTTGTTTACATGTGCCGTCGATTTTTGCGGTACTTAGATGGAAACACTATCCTGCCTTGGCCTAATCGAGGTGTTTTGGTCGAACGCCCGATTAAGCGGTTCGCCAGACAATCTGCGCTCGAAATAGACCTCTCAGGTGATTGCATCGTTCTGCTAGGCTCGTAGGAAAAGCACCGCTGTCAAAGCCGGACACGTTTGTCTTAGTACTGTTGCTCTTCCGAAGTTGATTGGTTCACCAGCGGGATTTTAATAGGTGGAACCATGAGACCATCAAGAGCCCAAGTGGAGGCAGCCGTGGGCATCATCATGCGCGTCCCAGGGTTGTTCATTATCGACTACTGGTGGCAGCACGACCGCAACAAGTCAGTCCCACAGTCCATGTCGCTCCAAGGGGTCCTGAATGCAGTGCTGACCAATCTGGGTAATGCGGGAAAAGACCCGGTCATGTGTGGATATGTGTGCCAACGTTGCTTCTCTCCCGCAGTCCTCGTACATGGTTTCCTGTTGCTGCTGCTTCCCATCTCCAGAGTGCGGTCCCTGTACACCAACTTTGTGAGTGCCCTTCTCTTGTTGAGCTCACACCTGCTGTCCAAGTACTACATCCAAATGGAGGAGAGCTTGGCCCAAGACCAACACCTAGACATAGACGAGAGCTTCACCCGGCGGCAAGTGGCAGCTTTTCTGGCCCACGTGGTGCTCGCATGGATGGTGTATGAACTCCTTGATGGGCCATACCGGCCCCTGCTCCCCATTCTGTCCTGCTACACCCTGCCGGTGCTGGCACGTGTGTTTGACTTTCCCTGGGAGTCGTTAGAGGTGCTCCACAACTTCGGCAACGCCCTCATGTGTGTCAGCGTAGCTTGCTACCTGTATAGCCAGCTGCCGTCATTGATAAGCTTCCTCAAAGATGCCTACCTGGACACATTGTTGCTCACGATGCGCTTTGGCTGGATTGGCCTGATGACGCTCTTCTGGAACAAGCTGTTTGTTCCCACCCACTTCCTGGTGTTCTGGCTGATCGAGTTCTGCGTGAAGCTGGCGGAGATGTATCCGACGTGGGAGAGTCCCTGGTACTTGCTGGTCCTCAGCTCGGCCAGCGGCGTCTGCTCGAGCCCTGTGACGCTGGTGGCCTCCTCGGTGACAGTGTCATACCTGGCTTACCTAATCCTCTCCGGCACCAAGGCTTTCCTGCACGGCAGCCTGAGCTTTCTCAACGACCACCCGATGCACAGTGGCTGGACAGAGGGCATCACTATGCTCTTGCTGGCACTACAGACGGGCCTCACCGAAATCAAGATGCCGAGCCGCGTCGCGGTACTGCTTATCATCCTGTTCATTGTCATGTCTTCGCTGCTGCAGTCGGTGTTGGAGATCACCGAGCCAGTGGTGCTTGCGCTGAGTGCTTCACAGAGCCGCCAGGTAGGGCGCCACGTGCGCACCCTGGGCATGTGCGCCTTCCTGGCAGCGTTCCCATTGCACATCACCTGGCGGCTGGCGTCTCTCTTCCCCATCGACTTCTGGATGATGATTGTCCTCTCGTCGTGCATCCTCACCTCGGTGCAGGTGGTTGGCCTGCTAGTCATCTACGGACTGTTCGTGTATGACGCGTGGCGCACTGAGCCCTGGGAGGCCCTGGACGACGTCATCTACGTTGCGCGAGCGCTCACCAAGGTGCTCGAGTTCCTTGTGGCTGTCTTCGTCGTGGGGATGGGCTTCTGGGAGTCGACGACGGGCAAGTGGAACTGGGCCAATGCCTCGATTCTGCTCGTCCACTGCTACTTCAACGTGTGGCAGCGCATGCAGGCGGGCTGGCACAGCTTCCTGCTGCGGCGCGAGGCTGTCCGTAAGACAGAGTCTTTGCCCGAGGCGTCTGCTGAGCAGCTCCTACTACACAACGATGTTTGCTCCATCTGCTACTCGGACATGCGGGCAGCTTGCGTCACCAAGTGCCAGCACCTGTTCCATCGAACCTGCCTTCGCAAGTGGCTCTACATTCAGGACAAGTGTCCGCTGTGCCACGCGCACGTGTCCTTAGAGACGCCAGGCGAGTCGGAGCCGGGTGAGTCGGAGCCAGGTGGGACCTCCGAGGCCCCGGAACCTCGAGGGACGCAGGAGGCCGACGCGGCTTCCTAATGCTCCGCTTACATTTCCAGTTGTGCTCTGCACAGGGGTCGTTCCATTTTGCACCTGCGGCTTTGGAGTGCCGTTGGGAGACACTTGGTGGGGGTCCCCGACGAAGAGCCTTCCCAGTGTGTGCGGGGCTCGCTTCAAACTAACGGTACCCTCCACACTCCCCCGGGCGGTCGTACCGGGGACACTACCTTCCAGTTTTATTTTATTCCTGTACATACTCTGTTATTGCTCTTTGACCTGTACAGCGGTAGCCTTCTACACCAATAAAAAGCCATGTCAGGTTGTGTGCGTTGAAACCTAAGCATGTTCGACGCACTGTGCTTAGTAATGGTTGAGTTACATGTGAGCATGGTGCCTACATGCAAACCTCTCAAGTGATATCTACTATAAGGTTATGCCTGCAGGCATCAATTCCATTTTAGCTGAAGCCATTTTGGTAAAGTCTACTTCCATTATAGCACTTGCAGTCGTATTAATATTGGAACTTTTGCATGTGCTGTACCATCATTTCAGTATAAAGCCTGTCGCCGCGACATGTTCCGTTCATAGCCATTTTTGGATTGATGAACTGTGCCATCTAAGTACAACAGGTTTTCATTGGCACATGATCATTGAATATTATAATAAGAGTGGAAGTTGCCAGTTTCTGGTAACTTGCTTGTTTAATAAAAGCTTTGTGTAAAGCATTAATGGCACTTGTAATAAATATCAGGGTGAAGGTATACTTTTCATGAGATGCCATAAGCACTTGACTTGTACACATCAAACTGGTGTTGCCACTTCTTAATTTGACCTTGTTAAAACCGTTTGAAGAATTTGTTGATGCAATACAATGGCCTCTTGCCCATTACATTATTGAGTACCTGCAGAGCAGTCCTTTTCCAGGAGGCAATTTCAGTAATAAAAGTTAAATAAGAGTACCATTTTTGTTTGCTAGAAGAGTGACATAGTGTTTTTTTTCACGCAGAGCAAGCCCCAGGGGCAGTAGCGAGTTATGTATTGTTTAAAGGGGAGCTCCTGGGTGTCAATTTGAACATTCTTTCTGAAAGAGTGCAAGAGAGCCTAGAGCAACAAGTAAATTTCCCCAAAACTTGTTTAATAATTTTTAATCGTAGAAACATGGTAATGGACGAAACCGAAATTGACCTGCAACTTTACTGGTCCACCATCTTCTTGCAACGTCAGCACGTGGGCAGCTTGGATCTGTTTCGCCCAGCGTTGGAAGCAGTCAAAAGGCCCTCGCAATCGTCCATGGGAAATGATGGAGCATGATTCATCAAGCTTTTCTGAGTTGAGCAATGGCCAGCAAATGTTAGAAGATTTTCAAAACGAAATTTCATACGATTCATCGTTCGCATTCGATCCGCCGGCATTGCCTCCAAAGGGAGGCAATGCACCCTTGGCGGCTGCATTCGTGATCCGCCGACATATGGACCCAGATACCGTTTCAGAAGCAAAATGGTATGGAAGGTTTTGCTTGCTAGCACGGTGCAAACTGTTACCTAGCATGACGCGAAGGCTAGGAGCCAGCATTTGCTTCGATCTGCTTGCTGTTGCAGAGGCGGCTCGGGCGGAAACAGATGAGATGTCGCCCTGCTGCATTCCTTCGTGGTGTAATTGCACCCCACAGCACATTGCCAATTATCCCCATCCTCCATCGCATGCTGTAAACAGCCTAAACCAGACGCAATCCGCAAAACCAAAGATGCTCGCCATCACTGCAACACATACCGCCGAGGAGGTGCGAGTGTCGTCTGCTCTCGGATACAACATTTGACGTTGCAGGCGCCCCTGCCAATTGCCCCTGCTCGTCGTTGCCGGTAATGCTGCAGCCAGCGATTTGGAGGTGTACGTGTAAACTCAAAAATAAGTTTTTCTTAAAGAAAGTGACTTGACAAAATATATATTGCAAACATACTCTGGGCTGGATATTTAGTGTGTGGGGAAAAGTTTAGGGGAAAAATTGATGATCACCAATATTTTGCCAGAGCTCCCCTTCAAAAGCTGCCCGTTTCCAAAGACAGTATCATTCACTTTTACAAAGAATGTGTTATAAAAGCGATAGCAGAATCCTTCCATTAACTTCTGGTTGCAAAACTTCTTTAACAGTGTGGGAGCACTTTGGTTGGGACTGTGTCGTAGTGCTGGCATCAACAAGGGGCCAGACAGCCACTAATCTAACCAAAGTTCCCCATATACTGAAAGGTAGTGCAAACCATTGTTCGAAACAGGAAAGAGAAATTCCTCTTACGCCTCTCATTAAAATCTGATTGCTTTTTTAATTGGATCGTGCTCGACACGACCCGAACCTTCCCATGAGCCCGCACAAACCTGTCTTCAGCTAGTTGTCTGCTTTGGAACGACGATATGAGGGAGCGCTGCGTCGGACGGCCGCTGCTCTGCTGTTTATGTTTAGGGCGGGTCCATATCACATGAGCGAATGACGTTTTAGCGAACAGCGACATTTGAGCGAATCGACATTTTAGCGAATAACAAGGGCGCGCGTTAACCCATTTGCCGCGCTGCACTTGCGCCGCTTCGCGGCGACAGTCTGCGGCGGCTCATTACAAAAATGTTTAGCGAATAGTCAAACGCTGCTTCGCGGCGTCTGACTATTCGCTAAAGTGTCATTCGGTGAAACGTGGGCGTTCGCTAAAACATCATTCGATCAAGTCGGTGCCTCCCGTTTAGGGCTGCGTATTTTCGGCACCGATTTGAGGTCCAGGGGGCGCAGCCAGTGACGTCACGGATGTCAAAATAACAGCTTTTATTTTGACGTTTTAATTTTGACGTCAACACGTTTTCTTTGGATGCCGCCGACTGCATTTGGAAATGTCAGTCGCTCGGTGTGTGTGTGGCCGGGTGCTCGGCGGCTTGGCGGTGTCTGCGCTGGTGCGTGTTGTCAACGTTGCCTCCTGTACTCGTCGCATTCTGAGGAACATCAAAATAAGCGTTCTCCATTTTCAAACTTCGCCCGGTGCCGTCCGTCACTCCTGTTGCAAATGAAGACTACGTGTACTGGAGGCGACAGCCCAGCCGCAGTGATTTTGTACGCATTTTTCTGGAGCTGTACTCGTGTGCAATACGACAGATTATCGCCCTCGCATAGAATAGCTGCGAAGGCCGTGCAAGCGGCAAGCGACTAGCCTTGGCTGGCATGACTGCACCCTCTGCAGGAGCGCTAGTGCCGCGCAATCCAAAGCAACTAGCTCGCACTTTTAGCACTGTTGTCAACACCATTCTTTTCTCTTTTTTTCAGTGTTAGTCGCAAAAAAGAAATGTCGTAAATATCGCCAAATGCCCCAACAAAACAAAAAGTTAAAAAAAAAAAAAAAAAAACGCTGTGGCTACCGTTACGTCCGGACGGAGCACTGAAACGCGTATACCTAACCCTCCCCCCCGCCCTCCTCTCTCTCCCTTGTGAACCTAGGGAAGGCAGAGATTTGGACATAACTTGGGTTACGTCGGACGTAATGCTACACACTTTGAAAAAAAAAAAAAAAAAAAAAAGCCTCCACTGTGGATCGAACCCACGACCGCTTGCGTATGGGGCAAACGTTTTAACCGCTAAGCCATGCTATACCTTCGGAAATCACGTTTTTACAATTCGTTTCATACGAGACTTTCGGACGGCACTTAAAGGGATACCACAACGAAATTTCGGCGCTAATTTTTTGGTCTATGTGTTTTCAAAGGAGCAGTATCACATCAAACACACCAATGTCTTGTTAAGAAGTTACAAAAAGGAATTTTAAAACAAATTAAACAATTAGCAAAGAGCACCTGGTGGATATCACTAACGCCTCGTTTGTAATGCCCGTCTAGGAACCTTGACAGCTAGTGACAGTGAGTGTCTCGCCTCCGGCCACGACGAGAAAAGAGGGGAAGGAGGAACTCCCTCCCCTCTTCCCGAGAATCTCTTTGGTGTGTCCCAGAAGTCGCTATTCCCCTACAAGATTATAAAAGATTAATTAGCCCGTCACTCAAAATTCGTACAAAAGCAGCTGCTTCGGTGGCTGGAACGACTAGGCCATCCTTTCGACGTGGGCCTCACCGTGGCTTTGCTCGTCCCAAGACGAACTACGTCACAATTGCGTTGGATGTCACGTGGTCTCCGCTGGCTGTTCTCCGAGCGCTTGCCAAAGTGGACCGTTTATAACGAAAAATAGAGCCACCCAGGCTCAAAATACAAACGTGCGATTGTCATTTACGGATATTGTAGATCATATTCAGCCTATTTTTGAACACGACGGGAATATTTCAAACTTCGTTGAAGTATCCCTTTAACGCGAAGTACCGTCGGACGGCACTTGAACGCTCTGCAAAAGTGCCGTCGGACGATACTGTAGTCACTACGAATCTTCTTTTGCAACAGGAGTGACCGACGGCACCGGGCGAGCGAAATTGGAAAACACTAGCCGTTTCTGGATACGCGACGAGCACAGGCGGCACGTCGACAGACACCGGCGAGTACACCGCCGAGCACCCGATCACGCGCACACACTCGCCGACCGACCGACGTTTCAAAATGCAGTCGGCGGCATCCAAAATAAAACATGTTTACATCAAAGAACACCAAATAGAATCTGGACGTCCATGACGTCACTGGCCGCGCCCGCCGCGCCCCCTGGACCTCAAATCGGTGCCGAAAATATGCACCCTTATGTTTACGGCGTGGATGTAGTTTTTTTGTTTTCTTATAACGGGACTTCGGCGGCAACGCGATGCCAACCTGTTGTGCCGTGGGTTGCGCAAATAGCATTGCAAAAGGGTACACCTATCAACAGGGCAAGACAGAAAATGCGCGCTGATGCAGCAAGCTTGCACGCGTAAATATATATATTTTTTTTTACAGCGAAGCTGTTTATGGTTAGGGTCCCATGGATTTTTCGTTTGCGGCAACAGGAATGACATCACAGCTCCGTGACGTCACATAACATCAATTTCCCCGCTGAATTTAGTGGGGAAATTGCCGTCACGTGACCTCAACACCAACGCAGTTTCCCCGCTAAATTTGCCGGGGAAATGTTCCCGCTATATTTAGCGGGGAAATCGACGTCATGTGTCCTCAACACCAATGCAGTTTCCCGGCTAAATTTATTGGGAAAATTGACGTCGCGTGACACGAAGTCGTGACGGCACGTCCGTGTCGTGTGCTAAACGGCTTCGCTGGTCATCCACCTCCACAAAATGGAATGGCTCATCATTTTTTTTTTTTTTTTTTTTTTCGGAAAGCCATATTTACGTGAATGGAAAGCGAGTTAAATGGGAGTGTTTGCTTATCAGATTAGCTTTGAGCCCTGTACCACGGCTGCATGTCAGTGGCTTTTCTAGCATAATGTGACCGATATCACTTTGATACCTAACGATGGTGCAAATTTCTGCAAAAATTTACTTACCTAGTTTCGGCTCGTGAATTTAACTCATTTTGAAAAAAAAAAAAAAAAAAAAGGAATTTCAATTTTAAAACGGAACTGCTAAACTAGCAGTCTTGCCTATCCCCTAAATGTACCTGCATTTAGTGGACGAGGGGCGTAAATAGCAGATGAATTTGCAAACATGTATTCGAGAGGTCCGTCGACCGCCATTTTCTCATTGGAAATTTCAGAAAATTGCATAACTTTTGTATGACGGTCAGTGCTGAAACTTTGGCATCTGGTTCGGACCTCTAGAGCTACGTTTGGATAGAA